CTTTCTTTCTTTCTTTCTTTCTTTCTTTCTTTCTTTCTTTCTTTCTTTCTTTCTTTCTTTCCGAGCTAAGTAAGGGCCGATTCTTTAGGTAAATGAATCCATCAGACAGAAAGAAAGTTGCAAAATGTGGCATTTCTAGCAGCTCTTTCCAGTCTCTCTGTAACCCTGCCGCTACCTCCCCCCCACCACACACACATACACTTTTTCTCCCCCCCGCCCTCCCCGCCCGAGTCCCCTTTCGGAACTGGCTATGTTTATAACCAGAGGGAATCTGAGAGGGAGTTTCTTTGGGGAAGGAAGGCCCATTTTCGCCACCGAACAAAGAATGAAAATGCACCAACAAAGGGATCCCCCTCCCCAGTGAGGGAGACGCAGGTGAGGAGAGGGCTTGGGGAAATTTGCCAGGAGCAGTCAGGGGCTCTTGTCTAGGGAGTTTATTTGCATATGGGGCATTTTCAGGGACCGGGCACAAACGGGCCGTAAGTTTCTGGGGGACACCCCCCCCCACACACACACTTTCCTTCTGTGAAAGCAGCGAGAAATGACGATTTTGGATCGTTTTTATTTTTTTTGAAGATGACGATTCCCACCACCGGTCAGAGCGAAAGCCCGAGTCTGACGCCTAATTAAAAAGAGTGGCAGCGAGAGTCATTCATCTTTAGCATCAGCTGCTAACGGGCTCGGAGTTCTAGTGACTCCGAGGACAGGACTGGGAGAGCGGGGAGCCGAGAGAAGCAGGCGAGAATGGATTTAATCAGAGCCACTGGGAAAGGGAAGGAGAATTTACTGGGGGGGGGAAGAGAAGGGGAAAGAGACAGAAAAAAGAGAAACGAACCCCCAAAAGGAGTGACTGGATAAAAGCGGGAGGGGGGGCAAACTCCGGCTCCCCAGAACTAAACTGTAAGCAGGCACCAACCCTTTCCATCTCCCCTTTGCCTCTGCAGGATCAGAAAAGCGAGAGAGACATCGGGGGAAAAACACACGGGCTAGAGAGAGCCAGGCAAAGGAAGAAAGGATCTCCACTGAGCTGCGGAAGGTTTTGCCCACCTCGCCTGCCGCTCTTCTCCTTTGCCACCCTGCTCCCTTCCCTCCGTTCTCCTCTCTCTGAGGTTTGCAAACAAAACGTCACCAATCGATAAGCCTCTCGCTGAGTGTGTGTGTGTGTGTGTGTGTGTGTGTGTGTGTGTGTGTGTGTGTGTGTGTGTGTGTGTGTGTGTGTGTGTTTAAAATGTATCTACTCCGTGAAATTGAGGTTGGGGCCACTTTAAATGAAAATCTACCTTTCGCCTTCAGGGCTACTTTATTAAGGGATAGCCGGGAGCTCAGCGTCCGGCAGAAAACTAGGTTGTACTTTCCATTAGGAAATGTCAATCAATCCTTTTCAATACATCAATTAATAAATCCGATTGGTGATAGCGCCTCCAGGGTACCTCTCTGGGTAGGTGGAGAAGTGAGTGGGGACGGCGAAGTTAGAAGGAAACTGTCCTCAAATAGCAGCCAGACACCTTTCCCCCCTCCTCGAGACATGAACTGAGAAGCATTCAAATCCTGAGCTTAAAAATAAGTACAAGGACCTCCCAGCCAAAACCAGAATGAGATCTCAGGCGAGGCAAAGGTTTGGGGAGCCAGTATAAAGCCCTGGCCTGTGGAAACAAGCCGGGTGTTAGAAAAGGGGACACATAAGAACGGAAGGGAAAGAAAGAAAATCAGAGAGGGGGAAATTAAAAGAAGAGAGAATTTCCACGGTGGAGTCTTCAGGATGTGTCTCTAAGCCTTATGTGTAGTTAAATTAGTACAGTTTAGTGAGATAGCTCAGTGGCGAATATTTTTTTGTCTCTGTGTGTGTTTGTGTTTGTGTGTGTGTGTGTATATATGTGTGTGTGTGTATACGCGCGATTAGAACAGGGCCTGTAAATTCTCCTCGTTATTTGATTTATATTTAGCCTGCACTTATTTAAACTACACCCCCTCTCCCTAATCCACGCCACGCAACTCTAACCCGGGGAATAAACATCATCGGTTTTGTTCGGTTAATTTCAAAGTGAACTGCAGCCCCAAGGTTTCATTTTTCATAATTAAAAGGGGCCGGGAAGCTACAAAACTCCTCCAAGCTGGCGATTCATCCTAGGTGGGTTGCTCTCTCTTCTGCTGCTACGCTTTCCACATATGTATACAAATCAGGGGGGAAATGGGAGGGAAATAGTGGCTTTATTATTATTTTTAAAAGAAACGGTTACACGTAGCGCATAATGGATTGTATCGTAGGACTTCGATGCTTGCTCTGTAATGTAGCCATGACATCAGGTCTCCTTTCTTTGAAATGACGCTGCTAATGCAAAACAAAACAAATGTTGTGAATATTTGTGTAGCTGTAGGAAGCCACAGGAAGTTTTCAGCCAGGCGAGCGGCCCCTTTGGCGGAGGATGGCGGAGCTGGGACAGGTGCAGGTATGTGGTGGAGGTGGGAGAGGGTGGGTTACGGGGCAGTTATGGGTTGTGAAGCCCCCCCTAATTAGATTCATTTCCAGGTTACTCCATATGGCCAGAACAAAATCAAACAACAACTATCTGCATATTCCCTTCCTGCCAGCCTGCGCCTCCCTCCAGGGAAACACTCACATACACTCAGACTAATAGTGCTAAAGGAACTGATCACTTTTCTCAAACCTGAGCCAGTCAAAAGGACCCTTAAAACAGAGCGCGAGATCCCCGAGAAACCTGGGTACTAATATCTATCTAAATAAATAATGCATAATAATAATAATAATAATAATAATAATAATAATAATAATAATAATAATAATAATAATAATAC